TGTTTATTATTGTATATTATCAGTAACATTCGATGTCACATGTGTCCTTATAGTTTTAAGAAACCAGTCCAGACATTTCTTGTATCTGTGCCCCAGACATCAAGTCGGTACAGAGGTCGACCAGGTACGAAAGCGGCTCTCGGTCCAGCTTCTCTCACGTCCTCTTGCGTGCAGGGACGAGTCGTCCCGCGTTGGCCCGCGCGCCCCCCCCCGGTGCGCCCCGCTCCTTCTCCAGCCGCGGCACGCAGGTGCAGCCCACGGCGATGGAGACGTAGAGCTCGGTGTACGCGTGGCGGCCGCCGGCGCAGGAGCCCGCTCTCCGCAGCAGGACGGAGGGCGCGTAGACCGGCGTGCTGCGGTAGAGGTCGCTCTCCCCCCCCAGCGGGCCGAGCAGGCAGCCCCTGCACAGGCAGTACGCCTCCGGGACGTAGCGCGGGTACCGGGCCGCGTCGTAGGAGATCCTGCGGGAAACCCGACGGTTACTTAAATGTTTTAATGGCTCTCAGACGTTAAAAAATATAAAAATATACGTTTGGTTGGTCCCAAAATGTTTAGAAATCTAAACTTGTTTATTCCAGAAAATGTAAAATAGTCGAATATTCGTCTGCTCTTTTTATTTTATTTATTTTTTTTTTTTTTTATTATTTCAGGAATAAATGAAACACATTAAAGAATTAATATTTGCAAGAACGAGTCCACTACTAATTGTTGTGCATGAATGCGACTCGTTGCGTTGCACCTGTCTCACCTGTAGGCCCACGGCGACACGCTGAGCAGGTTGACCGGGAGGCGGCTGTCGCCGTCGGCCGGGGAGCGCGCGCGGCTCGGGCACGTCAGGTTGAGTTTGTCCTGCGGCTCCAGCTGCAGCGCGTGATGGAACGCGCTCATCACTCCCACCGAGAGCCGCCCGAACATCTGCTCCAGGATCTCCTCCGGCAGGTCCAGGCAGGCGCGGCCGCGGGGCGCCTTCTTCCGCACGCGGCGCGCCGCGGACCCCCCGCCGAGCAGCAGCAGCAGCAGCAGCAGCAGGAAGACGCGG